TGCCAACTTGCAGCGAGAACTATAAATGCTTCGTAGTTGCGATATCGGGCAAAATATCTCCGTTTTGTCATCGTTTTTATTCGGGTTGCAAAATATAGTATTTTATTAAAGATTTGTCAACAAGATAATTTCCCATTCCTTCTAAATATGCGTGATTTTACAATAAACGGCATTGCTATACTCATTTGCTTCAAGATCATTCAATTTCATTAAAATTTCCTAATTTCTTGCAATGCTGCAGTTCTTGATTTTGTTGGGTTTTGTTGCAAATATTAATAAAATGTAGGGAATCCCGCATGAATGAATAGACGGATTGTAAGAATCTCATTATATTCCAATTATTAGCAGCATATTGGTCAAATTTCGTGCAAAAACAGCAGATTTGTTTAGGTTTTGTCCGGAATTCAGTAAATAGAATATTTCACTTTGCTCTAGAACGTGTTTTAACGTCTTTTCCCTCGGGAAAGAGTTAGTTTTGTTTTCCCACGAATCTCAATGTTGAGATTCTCGGGAAAACAAAACTAACTATTTCCCTCGGGTGCAGACATTAAGTGTATATTATCTAGCATATATATGTTTGGGAAATTGATCATTTTGTAATTAAAAGTGATATTTTGAGGGGATTTTTCAATTTTAAAACTACCATGACAATACTTCATGTTTGGAAAACATAATGGTTTTGTCAGCAAGGCGAGGGTTTTTGCATGTGTGTATTTTCTAGTAATAAATATTTTTCTACTTTTAAAGTTTTCTTGTTTTCTTCTTTCGCGTAATTAAGGCGAAAATCTTGTGGAGTACCACAATCTCAAGTTACCAGTAATGCATATAGCACAAGGAACTTTTTTAAAAATCTCGCTGCTTTGGTTTTAAAATAAATTAAGACATTAAGTCCAGTCAAATACTCAAATGGCATTAACTACCAATCAATAATAATAATACTTTATTTATCCATCTTGTGTTTAAAAATACAATGGATTTACATCAATATTTCTAAGTATACATTGTAATTAATTATATAAATATTTAAAGTATTCAAGTATATATATATGTATATATATATATATATATATATATATATATATATATATATATATATATATATATATATATATATATATATATATATATATATACACTGTAAATTCAAAGGAGTCGTTTTGACCCCTTGGGGTCATTTCGGTCCCTTGTGTTTTTGACATATATATATTAACCCTGTATATATGTGCCTGTTTACGTGATAATGGCATGGCTGGACAGGAGGTTTTAATCCAGGATGGTGTGTTTATATAGACGGAATACACCTCGCCTGGCAGGGGTGATAGAGTAAACCATAAGTACCATATGAATGTTTTCTGGAATGTGAGGCAATATAATATATTAAATCACAAATACCAACAACATCAACCTTTCATTTTATACCCATCTAATGGATTTTTCTGTTCAAAAATTCTTTCTCATGTTGTAAACTCTATCCTACGTAATAGAATGATTACAAATAAATTATTTATTTCTTTTCGTGGGAAAATTTGAGTGACTATGGTCAATTTGAGACCCAGAAATCATGGTCCCACAGTCAAAATTTCAAATTTTAACCCATGAAGTTGCATCGCACCCTTTATTGTATTCCTGTCTAATGCCAGACAATTTTGTTTGTGAGTGGGAGAGTGATGGTGGTTAATTGGTTAAGGATGCCAAGTTATATCATTATGCTTTCAATAAGTATGCAAACAGAGTTGTAACTTACCACTTGCCCGGGGCAAGTAAATATCATCAGTTGCTACTAAAAGCTGGGCGTCTTTAAGTTTATGTTTTCATTGCCGGATAATTTTTTGTATATATATATATATATATATATATATATATATATATATATATATATATATATATATATATATATATATATATATATATATATATATATATATATATATATATATATATATATATATATATTTAAAGTTAATTAAAAGTTTCTTGTCACCAGCTATGTAAAAAACGTAATCACGTTTATAAAAAGTTTTTACAAGACGTTTCGATCAGAAACCTCCGATCTTCGTCAGTTGATATTAGATAGATAGATAGATAGATAGATTGTTTGTTTAATAAGATTAACACATAGCAGCCAAGAGGCTGAATTGCGTGCTAAATTTTACAAGAGAAATGATTAAATTAGTTATTCAATATTTACAGAAGTTTAAAATTACATTACAATTTATAATTCTATATTACAGAAGTTTAAAGTTACATTACAAATTAGCTATGAAACTAGTAAATTTCTAAAAAAAAGTTAGCCAGTCTAAAACTGAATATCAGAATCGATTGTCAGTTAATATTATTGATATGCCTTGCAGATGAAGGGAAAAAACTGTTTCTAAATCTGTTCGTTTTGGTCTGAGGTACAACAAAAGACCTTGAGTGTCTAAGGTCGTAATTTGGAAAGTATCTAGATGGTACATGATTATGCATATTAGCTACTGGTGTTGTGGTGATTTTATTAAACAGTTTCTCGCATGCATCCACACGCCTGTCACTTAATGGTTTGATGCCCGATTTTTGTAAACAATCTGCATAACCTGTCAGTGGATAGATGATTGATAAAACACGCTTTTGAACCCATTCCAGGGCATTAGATAAGTAGGAAGGAAGGGCGAAGTGGAAAACTTGACAGCTGAATTCCATGACTGGTCTGACGCAGGTAGTGTAAAAATTTATTATGTCAGCTTCAGGTACATGAGCACGTTTCAACTGAATAATAAAATAAATCCGTTTGTTCGCCTTCTTAACTATGTTAGTTATGTGTTGGTTCCATTTTAGATCTTTAGAAATTGTCAAACCTAGGATTCTCGCGTGGTTCACTGTCTCGATTTGGCCTGAGATGATCTTAAGGCGCGGAAATTTTTTCTCAGGTTTTGTAAAACTGATAACAAGTTCCTTGCACTTGGAGGCATTTAATTGCATCTTGTTTTCTACAGACCAATTTTGAACACAATCGACTGTATCTTGAATTTTACTGGGTGTGTTGATGTAAATGATTTCAGATACCGTAGCATCATCGATGTATTTCCATCGCTCATGATGTGGGGGGCGTAGGTCATTTATCATTAGGATGAATAACCAAGGTCCCAATTTGGTTCCTTGAGGGACACCGGAAGGAATGTCAATCCATTCAGACATACAGTCTCTTGCAAGTTTCACCCGTTGTTGCCTGTTCATCAGAAAGTCAATTACCCACCGCTTAATGAAATTTGGCATTGGCAATTGGATGATTTTCGTGGCTAAGATCTTATGATCAATCAAGTCGAAGGCTTTCTTATAGTCAAAAAGAACCACTCTTACAGCGTTTCCAGTTCCATCTGTGGCTTGAGTCCACGCATGAACCATAGAAATTAAGGCTTTTGTAGCAGATGATCGAGGGATGCCACCAAAATGAAAAGGATCAATTGACGACAACACTGCTGGAGCGATATAGTTTTCAACAACAAACTCTTCTGCAAGTTTAGACAGAACCGGAGTTAACGAAATAGGTCGGAGCTGTTTGCTTATGTCTTTAACAGGTTTCTCTTTCGGAATAGGTGTAATGTTAGCTTGTTTCCAGCATGAGGGCAGTCTTTTTTGCTTGTAGGACGAATTCAATAAGTCCGATACAGAGGGAGCAAGGATTTCGGCATAATCACGAAGAATCCAATTGGGGATATCATCCGGGCCCGGAGCTTTATGCGGGTTCAAGCTTTTCAGTTTTTTCAAGACCGATGCAGTATTTGTCAAATTCATGTTTACATCTAACGGATAATCAGGAATCTCCTCAAACAAGGTGTTCAAATCTGTAACATTTAAGGGATCATAAGTATTCATTGGTTCTATTAGGCTTTTGTTAATTAAATCTGCAAAACCTTTGTGTGTTAAATGTTCTGTATCTTCGACATGAAGTTGGTTAAGCAAACTGCCAGATACAGGTCTCATACCGGAGATACGTTTAACCTCTGTCCACCAAGATTTGGGGTTAGACTTTTTCAGATTAGCAACTTTTGAAGCAAAATAGTCTGCCCGGCAAGATTTTCTCATTCTATTCACTTTATTTCGGTAGAATTTGAAAAGAGTAGTGTTATTAGATGAAAACGCACGTTGTCGAAACTTGATCAGCTGTTTCAATTTTTCGGTTATCCATGGGTTGTCGTTGCGATGGAATTTAACGTGTTTCTCAGGCATAAGGATGTCATAACCCGTCTTTATTGCGGAGCATAAGATATCACAATTCTTATCGCACGGTTCGGAGGAATCGATAAGTTGCCAGTCAAAGTTACTCAGATATCGACCAAGTTCTTTTTTGCGTGATTGACGTATGTCTCTTTTTATTACTGTCTTTCTACTTGTGGTTTCTGATGATGTTTTAACTTTGGGCTCAACCATTATCACATTATGGTCTGATAATCCGAAAGGAGGGAAAACCATGGCTGGTTGTACATCGTAAAATTTATGCATGTTTGTAAGTATAAGATCCAAAATCTTGGCACCACGAGTTGGTTTATCAACCAATTGTTTTAACTGAAAATCTCGGCAAAGATCTTTAGTGTCAAAGTGGTTAAAATCACCAGCAATAATAATTCCACAGCCTGGAAAAAGACTTTCCAGTAGTGTCAGTGAGTCTGATAGGTATTGAAAAAGATCTGTATTGCTGGAACTTGGAGGATGGTAGACGCACGCAGAAACAATGCCGTTAATTCCCCTTGGTAATCTTGGTGGTCTAATGTGTGTCCATAAAACCTCAAAGTCTAAATGTTCAATTTCAGGTAATCGTTTGAAACGGATGGAATTCTTTATGTACATGCAGACACCACCGTGGATACCAAGACTACGATCCCGCCTCACGAGGTGGTAATCAAATAAAGTCGCGTGGGTGTCACAAACGGACTCTCGCAGCCAAGTTTCAGTTATAAAACCCAAATCAAAACTTTGTGCAGAGGTCAAAATACGTAGCTCGTCAAGCTTAGGAACTAGAGACATGACATTGGTTAGCATAATTTTTGGAACGAATTCAGTTCTTGGAGAATGAGTTTTGGTAATAGGAATTTTAACAAGGTTACTGAGATTTCGAGTACACATTGGCTTGAGTCGGCCGAAATGCTGTCTTCTAGACCTTCCCATACCTTGTACTGTAGAAATGTTTTGCAAGGGTGTCTCCGCCATTATACGAGGGTTGAGTAGCTCCCATTCTGGGTCAAGTTTATTTTCTTCTGAGTTGTGTTCATGTCATGTTCTTTTGGTCGCCATGGTTTGCAAGTAACAAACGTGGGCCAGAAGTTTTCCTTCTCCACCAGTGCACTGGCGCCTGAGGGTATACGGAGTTTACACGAAAGAGTCTCTCGACGGCGGCTTCGAAAAACCGAGATATAAGTGGGGAAAATATTTCTTTGATTGAGGTAAGAAAGGATTTGACTTTTGTTTACACTTTCAGCGATTCCCGTTACGAACAATTTCTTAGTCTTACCACGTTTACGCTGTACTCCAATAAAATCATCAGGCGACTGTCCGGCCTCAGAAACTACACTCTGCGAGGTATGCTCCGAATTCTTGCTTAGGTTATTCTTGATAGGATCTTGGTGGTTTGTTTTGGTAGCGGTTTCATTAGCCGTTTTTTCTGCGTAGGTAGGGTGATGTGCTTTCGTACTATTATTATCTTCTATAGAAACATCAGCGGATGCGCTATTTGGGTTCACTTCTATAGGATTTACGGAAGCATTCCCGTTTAACTCATTAAACTGATTATTGTATTCTTCACGATTAATTGGCCTTGGTTCGGTAGTGCTCCCATTGTTCGTTCGAGGATTAGTCGATTCTTGTATGACAAAAGAATTATCAACACCAGCACTGTCGGCATCTACATAATCAGTAAGCTCGTCCGATACGCAAGGTTGCTTTGGCAAAGCGGAAATATCAGAATCAGTCTTGTTTTTGTTCACCAAATCTTGTAACTGAGAAGTTATATACGAGATTGAGGCCGATAGAGACTGGATTGCTTCGCCATTGATTTGTTGACCCAGTTTTAGATCTTCAATATCCGTATGCACATCATCACATAATTCATTTGATAGTTGAGTGTGGGCTGAGGCAAATACTTGTGAATTATTTGCATGATAATTACACATCCGTTTACATAACTCTCTCATGATTTCGGTCGCATTTTCTCCATTGATGGAAAGCAATCCCTTATTCTTTCTCCATAGTATAGTTGATGTATCACAACTAAACAACTTCCTATCACCTCCAGGCTGTTCCCAAGTTCCTTTGAGTTGTAAATCTTCACTTACAAACTGTTTTAGAGACTCATAAGTACCTGACCATGCAATGCATAGCTTATCGCTTAAGCTGGTTGCCATATTGTTCATTGTAGAGATATGCCATGGGCCATGTTACGAGATATGCCATGGGCCATGTTATATTAAAAATTAAGAAGCCAATAAACAGGCCTCTATTTATATGGTTCGTTAGCTATTAATTTGGATGCATCAGTGACCCATAAACGTCTGGAACGTCAATACGGTCATTGCCAGAACTTTTGTCCACTTGGGAATACCAAGCCTCAAGGAACAATCGTTTGCGATAATTTTTCTCTCTACTAACTATTTCGGCGTTTTCAAAGTCCATATTATGGTCATATTGCTCAACGTGTTCGGCTATCTTGGAATTCTTATCATTATATTCAACAGCTCTTTTATGTTCTTTTATTCTTGTTTTCAATGCTCGGTTAGTTTGACCATAATAAGTAAAACCACAAGCAGAACATTCAATTTTATAAACGATGTCCCTTGTACGGTTGGTGTCAAGCTTATCTTTTGGCTTTGGAAATTCTTGTTGTAATGTGCGAGTTGGTTGGAATGAAACACGAATTTTCTCACGTTGTAATGTTCTTGTAATTGTTTCTGTAACGCCCTTTATATATGGTAGAACAACATAACTAGATGAAACTGTTGATTTTTGCGTTGCATTCCCATTTTCATGCGAACTACTTAATTCCTTGTTTTTGTATCGCCTCCTGTTATCACAGCTTTTTATGAATTGTAAGGGGTAACCGTTATCTCTTAGGACCTTTAGGACATGTTTTCTCTCTCTACGTTTTCCCCGGTTTGTTGAGGGTATTTTCTCTGCCCTATCGAGTAAAGTATTAACTACAGATCGCTTGTGTTGTGGATGGTGATTTGACGAGTAATCCAGGTATTTGTCCGTATGCGTCTTTTTACGGTAAACAACCCTAATTTGACCATTTTGCCTAATTGTTACAGTATCCAAGAATGGTAATCTATTATTTTCTTCCGCTTCAATGGTGAATTGGATTTGCTTGTATATTGAATTTAAATGCTGATGAAACTCCTCTACATATTTACGTTTTAGGCAAGCATGGCTATCAACAACAAACCTGAACCACCAACGGGGTGGGTTGATGGCAGTTGTTAAATCAATTTCTTCTATGTGTTCCATAACGAGATTGGCTATTGTGGCACTAATCGGAGATCCCATTGCGCAACCGGACGTTTGCTGATAATATTCATTCTTGTATGTAAAATAACTGTTATTTTAGAAGAACATTTATTTTATATGAAGAACAGTTATTTTACATACGAGAATGAATATTATCAGCAATGGGATCTCCGATTAGTGCCACAATAGCCAATCTCGTTATGGAACACATAGAAGAAATTGCTTTAACAACTGCCCTCAACCCACCCCGTTGGTGGTTCAGGTTTGTTGATGATAGCCATGCTTGCCTAAAACGTAAATATGTAGAGGAGTTTCATCAGCATTTAAATTCAATATACAAGCAAATCCAATTCACCATTGAAGCGGAAGGAAATAATAGATTACCATTCTTGGATACTGTAGCAATTAGGCAAAATGGTCAAATTAGGGTTGATGTTTACCGTAAAAAGACGCATACGGACAAATACCTGGATTAAACGTCAAATCACCCTCCACAACACAAGCGATCTGTAGTTAATACTTTACTCGACAGGCCAGAGAAAATACCCTCAACAAACCGGGGAAAACGTAGAGAGAGAAAACATGTCCTAAAGGTCCTAAGAGATAACGGTTAACCCTTACAATTCATAAAAAGCTGTGATAACAGGAGGCGATACAAAAACAAGGAATTAAGTAGTTCGCATGAAAATGGGAATGCGACGCAAAAATCAACAGTTTCATCTAGTTATGTTGTTCTACCATATATAAAGGGCGTTACAGAAACAATTACAAGAACATTACAACGTGAGAAAATTCGTGTTTCATTCCAACCAACTCGCACATTACAACAAGAATTTCCAAAGCCAAAAGATAAGCTTGACACCAACCGTATACAAGGGACATCGTTTATAAAATTGAATGTTCTGCTTGTGGTTTTACTTATTATGGTCAAACCAACCGAACATTGAAAACAAGAATAAAAGAACATAAAAGAGCTGTTGAATATAATGATAAGAATTCCAAGAGAGCCGAACACGTTGAGCAATATGACCATAATATGGACTTTGAAAACGCCGAAATAGTTAGTAGAGAGAAAAATTATCGCAAACGATTGTTCCTTGAGGCTTGGTATTCCCAAGTGGACAAAAGTTCTGGCAATGACCATATAGACATTCCAGACGTTTATGGGTCACTGATGCATCCAAATTAATTGCTAACGAACCGTATAAATAGAGGCCTGTTTATTGGCTTCTTAGTTTTTAATATCAACTGACGAAGATCGGAGGTTTCTGATCGAAACGTCTTGTAAAAACTTTTTGTAAACGTGATTACGTTTTTTACATAGCTACATATATATTTCTACATATATACATATATATATATATATATATATATATATATATATATATATATATATATATATATATATATATATATATATATATATATATATATATATATAAAACAAGGAATTAAATAGTTCGCACGAAAATGTGAATGCAACGCAAAAATCAACAGTTTCATCTAGTTATGTTGTTCTACCATATATAAAGGGCGTTACAGAAAGAATTACAAGAACATTACAACGTGAGAAAATTCGTGTTTCATTCCAACCAACTCGCACATTACAGCAAGAATTTCCAAAGCCAATAGATAAACTAGACACCAACCGTACAAGGGACATCGTTTATAAAATTGAATGTTCCGCTTCTGATTTTACTTATTATAGTCAAACTAACCGAGCGTTGAAAACAAGAATAAAAGAACATAAAAGAGCTGTTGAATATAATGATAAGAATTCCAAGATAGCCCAACACGTTGAGCAATATGACCATAATATGGACTTTGAAAACGCCGAAATAGTTAATAGAGAGAAAAATTATCGCAAACGATTGTTCCTTGAGGCTTGGTATTCCCAAGTGGACAAAAGTTCTGGCAATGACCATATTGACATTCCAGACGTTTATGGGTCACTGATGCATCCAAATTAATAGCTAACGAACCGTATAAATAGAGGCCTGTTTATTGGCTTCTTAGTTTTTAATATCAACTGACGAAGATCGGAGGTTTCTGAGTGACAAGAAACTTTTAATATATATATATATATATATATATATATATATATATATATATATATATATATATATATATATATATATATATATATATATATATATATATTATACTGATTTTTTAACACTCTTCTGGTTCGCTATGCTTGTAGATGAATACAGACTAGAGATTCAATTCAAGAAAGTTCAAAAGATACGAAATATTAATAACATTCCAAGGGTCGGGACCCGACCATTGGAATGTGAGCCTGCGCAGAACGTATGCGCAGAACGGACTTTCCATGGTCTTTAAATAAATAACAAATTAAAACACTGAATAATGATCGTAATTCATATTTAAATTTTCAGAATAAGCAAAGCTGTCATTTTGGCTTCACTATAAAACATTTCCTCATTTTTTTTTTTGAAATTGTTAGTCCCGGCCGGCGGGACAGCGAGACGCTAGCTACGCCACCCGTCTTCTGTATGATATCAACCAATGTTTCGTTCCTGGTTAATGCTATTTTAAGGTGGTGTCGTTGAATTTTACAAGATAGCGCACGAAAATATTCGTGGTATATTCTTTGCGTGATTTAACCATGCATGGATTGTAAAATAACTGGATGGGAAACTTCTGACGTCATTGACCTCATTCTTGTTGAAAAACGTGACGTCACGCGTATTGCGAATATCACCAAAGTTCTCGGCATTTTTGTTGTTTTGCTATATTTTCCACTTTAAAGGAGTGATATTGAAGCATGAACTGGTCCAATCGTTTTAAAAACATGCCAAAGCCACGACAAAGTATTCAAGGTAAATATTTTTCGTCTTTGTTTTGTATTTTTTTATATTTGTAGCTACGAAATTGACGTCACAAATTTTAACGAAATTTGCGATGTATTTTTCACTGTTTAGTGCTTTTCATGGTAGAATGGCGTGGTTATATCTATTTGCTCTTTGACTAAAATGTTTACCTGTATTATTGCTAGACATCCCTTTTTTGAGAATTTGGTTTGCAACTACGTTGGCACATCCAACCACGCCATCAGCCCATTGAAAACATTAGGTCACGTCAGCTAGTTTCCTATCCATATATTTTATTATCCATGATTTAACTAAATTCAGATTCCGGTCGATAGGCAAGATTTCTAAGCTTATTGATTTCGTTGCGTTGACGGTAAACACGGTTTATTTTGCTACGAAATTGTCCGAATTGAAACATTCTCTTTCCCGCCGCGAAGCTCTATTTCTTCTAGACACGCTATAATGTGCCTTGTTATGGCGAAGTTTTTTTGTCTTCAAACCTTCGACGCACCGAAGGCAGTTTAAATTTGGGGAACTGCCCTGATCGACCACTGAAATGTTTCGCTTATGTAGTATATGTTGACTTTGTATTTTTGCGTGATTCCTGTATGAATTTTACAATATAGCTCTATTACTTAAAGTATTCGTAGTTTACTTTTCGCTTACTTTCGATAGCAGACACCGGTACGTCAGTTGGTAACATTTATAAACTGGTTGAATTGCGTAGACGATCGCATACAATAATAATCAAGGGCGTAGCCAGCCCCAAACGAGTGGCGGAGGTCTAATGGTTCCGCCGATTTAGGGGCGTGGTGTCCCGGAAATTTTCGACGACCCCCCCCCCCCCGGCGCAATGGTTTGTTTTTCATCAGACAACAGAACTAATAAAGTCCCAAATTAAGTCCTGCCATGCATGAAAACACTACGATATACTACGTTATACTATACTATTACCATAAACGGTTATAAAATTAACAAAATACATAGCTAGTTACATATTTACGGTATTACTATTACACATATTTACATTCGTACAAAAACGAAGAACATGCACTTCTACGAACAACAAGATCGACATAAAACAAGAACGACATTTAGAGCAAAACGTTTTCCAAGTCCTTGGCCTATTAACATCAAAACATGCATTAACTTTTTGAGTTTAGTGATTATAGAGTTTATACAGATTTGATATGAAATCTGATCTTAATTTACCTGTATGTCAATGAGACGTACATGTTTAATATATGTCACCTCTGATTGCCCTTTAACCCCTGGTCTTTGCTACTTCAATATATAGGCTACTACTAAAACGCGATACAGCGATACGACGATACAGCGATACAGGAACCGGAACCTGGAACCGGAACCTGGAACCGTGCATAATTTATGCAAATTAGAGCATTTTACACCACAGGAGACATACATCAGAATAATTTACGGAGGGGGGGGGGGGGACGCAATCAAAGATATTATGAAGTATTACATGCAAAACATTTTTATTTTTTAATTAAACAAATCAAAGAATGAACATCGTTGTAGCGCTATATATTACGAGTAAAACATGTTTCGTAATTGCGCGGCGATTAATTTAGTCTGTTTTGAAATACCAGCATGTGACTTAGTCTAAGATTTAGCTGCCTCACTTGACTATGAAATGCCAGCAGACAGAGAAGGAAACCATAGCAGGCAAAGCAGATTGCGCTGCATGAATTCAGCAGCAATTTTGGGCTAAATTAATTGTTAGAATCAAGTGTAGTGTATGACGGCAATCCTTAACGTTGAAGTAACATATAAGAGACGAGGAAGCTTTTTATATTACAGGCGTATAGTACACCGAAAAGTGCGTAGGCCCTAGCTGAGTTTAATTGGGTTTTTTTCCACACATTTTGAGGTGTATTATACGCCGGTAGTAAACGGACTTGCATTGTATTTAAAGAGAAATTCAGCGACTCAACGTGAAAGTTATTATTTAATTTATGGGCGTTTATTACCGTGGTATGATATCAAGACAACGATATGGTGCTGATTTGTTTTGCTGCTGCATGAATTTGATTAATGATTTGAGAATGTGCTATATAGTAATAGACGCTGCAAATATTGCGAATATGCTGTATGCTAAAAATATCCGCTTGAACATCAATAACAAACATTAATGAAGTTATGAAGGTAACTTTAATGTCATTACTTAAAGATTGTATTGTAGTTCAATGTCAAAAATACATTTAATAATGAAAAACTAAAATGTGTGATTGAAAATGAAATAGGGATGTACAATACAGTATGCTATACACATTTTTATTTATAGTCTTAACCCTAGCCTGTGTACAGACTGTCTTAACCAGTGAAGGGCAAAAAATTGATAATGGACTTCTTGTAAGTATCTGATTACGTCCGGAGGAAAAAATAGATATCTAAAATGGAATGCAAGTTGATACTTTTTCACACATCCCCATATGTTTTCGACGCTGAATTTCAGTCAGACTTTCCAATTTTTCACTATTAAATGTATATTTGACATTGAAGTTTATAACATTGAAATTACCTTCATAACTTCATTCATTGTTGTGACAGATGTTCTAGCGGATACATCTAGCATGCAGCATATTCGCAATATTCGCAGCGTCTATCACTATATAGCACATTCTCAAAATTCATTGTCTTGATATCATACCACGGTAATAAACGTCCATAAATTAAATAATAACTTTCACGTTGGGTCGTTGAATTTCTCTTTAAATATAATGCAAGTCCGTTTACTACCGGCGTATAATACACCTCAAAATGTGTGGGGAAAAAACAATTCGGCTAGCGCCTACGCACTTTTTTGGTGTATTATACGCCGGTAATAAAAGCTTCCTCGTCTATTATATATTACTTCAACGTTAAGGATTGCCGTCATATACTACACTTGATTCTAATTACTTTAGCGCATAATTGGTGCTGAATTCATGCAGCGCAATCTGCTGTGCCTGCTGTGGTTTCCTTCTCTGTCTGCTGGCATTTCATAGTCAAGTGCGGCAGCTTGGCATATCAAAACACATTAAATTAATCACCGCGCAATTACGAAACTTGTTTTATTTGGTAATATATAGCGCTACAACGAAGTTCATTCTTTGATTTGTTTTAATTAAAAAATCAAAATGGTTTGGCATATAACACTTTATAATATCTTTGAATTGCGTCCCCCCCCGGCAAATTATTATCATGTATGTCTCCTGTGGTGCAAAATGCTCTAATTTGCATAAATTATGCACGGTTCCAGGTTCCGGTTCCTGTATCGCTGTATCGTTGTATCGCTGTATCGCTTTTTAGTAGTAGCCCAATATATATTGCTTTTTTTCTCAGTTCCATTCATGATAAGATAAGATTGCTTATTGGCTTAAGGCTTAGCCCACAGCTCACGAGTAATCACTGTGCTTGATACAATTTGTGCTGTTCACTGTAGTTCTATTTGCTTTTAATGCCCGCAGCAATCCCTACCTTGCAGGTACCCTTGCATTTTAAAGAATACGAGTAAGAAATATTTGTAATGAATTGAAATCATCCAATCATTGAATTAGACCAAGGGTTAAAGGGCAATGACAATTACATGCAGGTTCATGCAGGTGACATTTAACATGTGCGAGTGTGCGTCTCACTAAATTTTCGTTATCAAAGAAGGCACAGATATATACAAGACAACCTCACATGTGGAATCTGTTCACTTATGCACTGCCTTGTGATGCAGCACAAGTATAAATACAAATGACAAAGCATTCTTAAATACTAAAATATAATTAAATCACACGGCACATTAGTCAAGACTTTAATATCGTATTTCAGCCGCGTTTAACTGCTTGGCGCGCATTCACTGCGTTATATTCATTTATATACCTACATGTTATGTACGCAGATTTATTACTAACACTATATGATAATATAGAACTCACAAAGTGCAGTCACCTGTTTATAAATAAACCCTTTTAAAGCATGTCATTGTCATTGCAGACCAGAGGCAAAAAGCACAGCCACATACAAAATTTAAGCAATCGTGAGACATATACATGGAATGAATATGGAAATTATGTTGAAAGCACCGCGTATAATGTTGAAAACTGCGTATAATGGCGAAAACACCGCGTGTAATGCAGAAAGCACCGCCATTTATCTCTAAAAGCACCCAACAAAATGCCGTTTGATCACTCCCCACGCCAGCTGTGGCTTTCCATAAAAGAAAACGAAAGATGAAAGATGATATTATGCCTTATGCCTGTTTATTAGGCAAGAATAGCCTGCCGGCCCGAAAACAGTGCATTGTGGTAGGCCGAAATACATCAAAACGATCGAGATTCATCTGTATGTACATTGTACATATACATAAAGATTAGGATTGCTGCCTTGCTCGCTCGCTTCAGGCTCGCTCGCTGCGGCAGCAATGATCACGAGCATATAAGTATAACTTATAACGATGAAAAGAAAACTGTAAATAACACCACCCGCAAATTTAATGCTAGATTAATAAAAAAACTTGTATGAATTTCCTGCATTTTCTTATGTTTAGCATTAACAGACATCAAGTTTGTTCTACCACAAAATCGCAATCCTATTCAGCCTATGTTTGAACTGAGATTTGAGAAAGAAGGCAAATGGTATCCTGTTAACGCAACGGAAAGCGGTGTGACTGCATCTAAGGTATGCTGCGTATGTACTTCCTTGTTGTATAGTATTCTGGTGTAGTTTTTTTTATCATTACTTTATTACAATATTTAAAAACGGCTTAATTTAACATGCCTCAATTAAAGGACAACTGTCACACCATGGTATCGCGAGCTTTTGTTACTGTTTTTATCTTACCCAAAATCAACAAATAGTAATAAAAATACCTAGCTTGTGTGTTACGTTTCCGATAAGAATCAGATGAATGAAGCAAAGATCGTAAAGATCGTATACACCCGGATTGCAAAAAAACGATTCCAGATTGGTTATCTACTGCGCCAATAACATGGCCGGAGGCAGGTATTTGCAGCCCGAAATACGTCTGAACACAAAGTCTTTGATATAACTGAATCGAAATTTTCATTTAAAATAACTCGCCTATTCGTAACGACAACAAATAATTGAGTTTGATTTTCCAGTTTTACTCTCTCGAATTTTCTCGTCATAGGTGATTATTGTAACTAAATTCTTGAAAGGCAAGTGCTGAAGTGGTTATCGTGAAGTCTTTACTCAGTCGCAGTAGTTAAAATTCACAGGCGGCCCAATCTCGCAAGGGTCGGTATAGACTTATAGTAATGTATATTGTAGTAAAATATGTCATAAAATATAAATTTTAAAATGAAATTTACTTGCCTATTTGGTAGTGCATGTGTGCTCACCATTTATTCGTCTTTTGTTGAACAAATGTTTTCCGAGACTTTGCACTCGATGGTACTAGTACACATAATATTTGATAAAGGCAACTACTATACAATACTTACAATCGTCGATACGTCTGCACCGCACTTCGAATAGAAAATATATTCTCCCACTCAAATCGCTTTATTCTCAAATAAATTTGCCATCATGTAGAATAGATGCCGTTCTTTGAAAATACGGAGATGTACAAGTTTTGGACCATATTTTAACGATGGCAATCCAAACCCATTTTATATTTTACAAAGACCAACGATTACTACCGCGAATGCCTGGGCAACCATGTCTCCTTTACCGTTGACTTTTACAGGGAAGGAGTTACATTAATTCGAGATACGATCGTTATATTAGAGGCTAATTTGAAATATGATATATAGATATCATAAATTGTTCTAAATACCTTCCTTATTATACCATACGTGCTATATGCAGCCCAACAATATGTTGCTTTCCATTCTACCGTTCCGGCTATTTGGCATTTGCATGTTGTAGGCAGGGAGCGAACTCCACCCCCCTGTAAATCCCAACGGTAAAGGAGGCCTGGTTGCCCAGGGATTCGCGGTAGTAATCGTCGGTCTTTGTAAGTTCAATATAAAATGGGTTTTGATTTTAATTGTTAAAATATGGTCCACAACTTGTACATCTCGCCGAAATATCTCCCCACTTTTAAAAAACGGCATCTGTTCTACATGCAGGCCAATATTTTTAGAAAATAAAGCGATTTCGGTGGGAGAATTTTTTTATTTCGCGCAGACGGATATATGATCGACGATTGTAAGTAGTTTGCCTTTATCATGTATTATGTATACTAGTACCATCAAGTGCAAAGTATCGGAACATATTAGTCCAACAAAAGAGGAATAAAAGGAGATCAACAGACACTATGAAATAGGCAAGTCAATTTAATTTTAAAATTTATATGTTATGACGTATTTTTCCTATAATATACATTACTATGAGTCTATACTGACCCTTGCGAGATTGTGCCGCCTGTGTAAAATCAAACAGTAACATAATCATAGGTGTCGTGGACTTGTGGTTATAGTGTCTAAACTTCCATGAGTCAAATAATTTCTAATGGCACAATGTGCCTAGTGCAATGTAGACCAGACAATTTATTGATTAAGCGTAAGATCCATCATGATTTTCTATCTTGATCCTTTTGAAATATTTTGACAATGGAATGAGTACGTATCCTATTACTTTGTTTTACAGTTTACCGATCCCCCGACCGATACTACAGTTTTTGGAGTGATTCAATTTTGGTCACCAAATACACCCTATGTTGCTCTTCGATCCAATCAACAGCATGACGGCCACAACCTTTTTCTGAGCAGTAATGGAGCTGGATACATGAAACTGAAACGTTGGAATAAACCAGTCCCGGAGTCTCCTTTTACGACCCCACAAGTCGACCCTGCTTTGTTATTTCGAGTGGTCAGGCCGTTAGACCAGGAGTAAATCGCCAACTAGTAAAAATAGATCTTGTTATGGACTGTTTGACTTATAATTATAATTACTGATGAGTTGTTTATAATTATAGGTTGCTTTCATCATGCCACAGTTCAATGCACATGGAGGGCATTTAAATAAAAGAACCTCATTAGAATTCATTATTAATTCATAAGTCCATCTGCCTGTTAAAATCTCGTAGGATTCATATATAAGCTTTGATATAGATAACTTGTTTTCATAAAAACAACAATAAACAGGAATATACTACTGCATTTGTGTATTCTTTCATCTGCTATATTTTGGCCCTCCTCCACAAACTAAGGTATGTAAGTCTTTACCTACTTTTGAGTCACATGCCTCCTGAATATTTAACAATTATTCGCCGAAGGCGAGGTGAATATCGCTGAATAAAAACCGAGACGAAGTCGAGGTTTTTATTCGGTGATATTCACCGAGCCTGAGGCGAATAATTGTTTTAGTATAATTACAAAGGTGTTTATTTGAAAAAAAACAATATAACACATTTCAATCTTTTTCCGTACGGCGGTGACTTTAGGTTTCTATATCCAGAGCCGCTCATATCGCCATCAAGAATGCTTTTTTGTAGTAATTTCCATCACTTTTTCTTATAGAAACGTAGAATTTTGATAAACATTTGTTTATTCCGTCAATATTCATGTCTTCAAACTCATTTGTGAATTGTGACTGTTGTTGAAACCAATCTGTTGTAGAAAATACTTTTTACAAACGTAAACAAATGTCTAAACTATATATTGTACGGCAACTTGAATAAAACGGTGTTTTATGCGAAATAAAGTTAAGCAGATTTCTGCAACGTAGTTTCCCATCTGGAAATACTTTTAAGCCAAATTTTTTCACTTCTTTCGTGCTTTTAGGTACAGTATTTTCTTTAAAATTAGTAACTTATTTCTTCATCTGTCACTTCCGACAAAACCACTCGCCGCCATTTTGAAAAAAACGCTTAGGTGATTATCGCGTAATAATCCGAGATCGCTTGACCAATCAGCGACCACAATTTTCGATAATCACCATTGTAATTATACTAAACATAATTATATACTCTTATCCACTAAAATCCGGTCACAATTATGTTTCAGAGAAACGGATATAGAAACCTTAGACACCGCCGCTTTGATTCTGACTCGTACCCAGTCCCTGGACAAGAATTGAAAAAAAAATGCCGCTTGGTAAAAATTATTAATCATCATCATTCCCATCATGCATCAATCTGGTGATCAATTTATGTACTATCGACTCATAATTTAGGCACTATAGTTTGTCTGGGTACGCGTCAGATTGTGCCACACATTTTGTTCGAAAATATTGGTAAAATTTCACCTTGTGAAATTTGATACAAGAACCCGACAAAGTTATAAGCCGCCACTTCAAGGTTTGAGAAGGAAACGATAAGGTAGTGGTAGAAGAGGCATATGCCGCGGGCCCCCCGCTTTTCACAGCAGGGAAAAAATAGGGGGGAAACCTTAAAAAAGAAAACAATGATGCAATGAATTTGAAATCACTGGAAGTTCAGATGTACAACTGATAATGGAAAACAAACTCGAAACTGTATTTCCAAATACACTGGTCGTACTCCGTATATTTATTTTTCTCTTATGATCTAATTGCTCTGGCGAAATGTCTGACTCAATACTTAGGTCAGAACGGATGAATGTTCTGAATACGACATTCTTCACGAGCGCGACTTAAGTTCACTCATCAATGACTTTGTGCTCATAAAATGTCGTCAAACAGAATTTTTGCAAAGCATCCTAACAGAGACTTAACTGAGATACAGTAATGATTACACTTTTCTTAATATTACATTGGTATTGTTGTTATGGGGTAGATATTAAATGCTTTCAATAACCAACTTTATATTCTGTAATTTTGTTTAAGACTTCAATTCAAGTGATCGCTTAAAAAATAATTGGGGGAATTGGACGCTTGTTACGGACAGATCTAGGACAGGGTACTAGCTTCGATTAGCCTGTGTAGCAGGCGTTTAGTGCGGGCGGGAGAAGAGGGGGCGTCGTCGAGGAAACACCTGCCCAAATGGCTGTGATAGCCACTCTCCCATTAAGAGTGATTGACGTTTTGTAATTAGCACCTTCACCGGTTCACGCATTATCCAATCATGGTCGAGATTATATTTAACATCATGCATGTTCTTCCTCGGCAACTAGGAAGATTTTAGATAACACAGAGCTTTTATCATTTAAAAGGCTCCTGAACGTTGGTTGTTTTAACTTATTCTGCCGTAGCAAATAACATGTGAGCATGTCTTGAAGTGTTGTATTTAAAATCATCGACCAACTTCATAGTTGTAATGCCAAGGCAAGTGATGTAGCTCCAGCTATGTGGTCTTGAATTATACTTTCAGGAGGACAAATAACAAGACAACTATAAGAAATATTCCATCCCTGTTCGTGCCGGCCAATGGTGCTGGCATGCAGCAAGCTTTGATTTGGCGATCATTTATAATTGAAAGATCAGACGTTTCTCGTATCCCGTAGCGTGTGAAGAATCGAGATAATGTCCTACGTAGAAAATTAATATTTTCAACTGAATTTCGAAAGCTTAAAGACTTAAAATATACGCAGAAAGAGTTTCCTCCAAAGCATTAACGGAATGAGCACAACCCCCACTTTAATTACGTATGACGGTACAACAGCTAAAACTGCTTCTGATAAGGCGCACCGTTTCAATCGTTATTTTTCCTCAACGTTTTCGCAACCTAGAGCTGCTATGCAAACGATGACACATTTGACGACCCGTTTTCTTGGCACGAAATTATCGGACATATCTAAATGTGTCCCAGAAAAGAAAAACGCTATGAAAATTCAATTTTTACATAAGACGAAAGAACGGTTATTTAGCTTTTCGTTGATGCTCTTTTAAATCGTAACGATGAGATCGAAATGGCCACATACTCGTCAAATAGAAAGTGCCGGTCGAAATCACATTCTTCCACCGTTGGGAATTGCATAAAAACGAAACATAGACAATTCCCAAGAGGGAAATAAAGTTGGCTGTTAATTAAATTATCTAAAATGATCGCATGCAACTCGCCAATCTTCATCTCAGTGAGACAATAAGAACGTCCATTATTGCATAAAACTTTGCTCAATTAACCACTAAAAAGAGAACATCCGTAATCAAAACGTTTTACGAAAAAAATACCTTGCATCAGGCACGCGTTGCTTTTGGATTGATTAACTTTGCATAATTAATGTGTTTTGAAAATCAACGGTGGAAGAATATGATTTTGACCGACAATTTTTATTTAACGAGTATGTGGCCATTTCTCATCGCTACCGTTTAAGAAAAGTGTCAGAGAAAAGCTAAATAACTGCTCTTTCGTCCTATCTAAAAATTATAGTTTAGCTAAATTTGTGATCCACAACAAGCTGTTGAATTTCCATAGCCTTTTCTTCGAGACACCATGTATTAGTGTTGAGGAAGTCGCAGATTGCCTAACTTCTCCTGAAACATCAAAAACATGAGATTCTGTTGCAGTCAACAAATTCCGACAAGTCTCTGTGCACTTTAGAATCATTCTCTAACTACTGGTCACTTTCCTTGCGTGTTGAAATTTGCCAATGTCACACCCATTCTCAAGAAAAACTCCAAGGAAGATGCTGAAAATTGTAAGCAAATATCCTTACTATCGATTGTGAGTAAAACCATGGAACGTTTCGTTTATACTCATCTTCTCCTCTTCGGTCAACTCATTTCTCCAGTAAAACATGGATTTTTGAGAAAGCGATCACGTATCACACAACTGCTCCAACCAATTCACAAGATCAGCCAAAATCTCGACAACAACATCCAGTCGGACGTTTTGTACCTGGATCTTGCTAAAGCATATGACTCGGTTGATCATCAAATTCTTCTTCAAAAATTAAAGTATTATAGCGTGACTGGATGGCTTCTCGAATGGTTTACTGATTACCTAAACGGTCGGACTCGGAGGGCTGTGGTCGACTGTCCTGTACTTCAGTGGTCCACTGTCACCTCCCGTGTGCCCCAAGGAAACATTCTGGGTCCCTTATTAATTGTTATCTGCATCAACGATTTTCCTGAAATTGTTCCGAATGGAACTAATACAGCTCTCTACGCGGATGACACAAAATTACACCGAAGCATCTCATCCCTGAGTGACTGCAAATATTTACAACAAACACTCGACAGCATCAACATCTGGAACCAGCAAAGCAATTTGAAATTTAATGCCAAAAAACGTAAAGTTCTCATAATAACACGCAAGAAAACCCCCGTAGTCTACGATTATAGTTTAGTTTAGTTTAATAACTTTGTTGCTTTAGAAAAAAAACCATACACACTTGTATCATCCAAGCACTACTATATATACTGCTAAATACAAGAATGTAGTAATTAGTTAAAAAAAAAAACTGGTGGCCAAACAGGGCATTGCCCCAATTGAACATGACTACCAATTTAAAAACCTATTAAGAGTTTATATATACCTAACATTTGCTACTATATATTTATATATACATATTAACAAGTAGTGGAACACTCTGCAAACTACTTATGTGGCAGTTCATAAACATTAAGTTCTATATAAAATTTCTTAAGAAGTCTAGACTTAAAAATACTAGAGCTGTCAATTGCTTTGAGATCACTATCTAACGAGTTCCACATTGTCACAGCTCGAGGAAAATACGAGTTTTTAGAATATTCAGTTCTACATTTAAATTCAGTGAAATTATTCACGTCATGTGACCTAATGTT